CTATAGAGGCAGGATACAAAAAAAGCAGCCAAAATATTTGCAGTATCTTAAAAAACTAGTATAGTAACTTTTCAGTGCAATCACTTATTCCCTTTTTCTAGTTTTGCCCAGTAAACAAAATTCATTCTACCATCAAACAATGACAAAAAAATATTTTTTTATTATATAATCTTTTCTTAGAAGAAAAATCTTGCTATACAAGAGTACTTATAAAAGTTCATGGAGGCATTGGTTCTGCTTTGCAGCAGGTAAAGCTACCACCTGGACACTGGTTCATGTCCTGGCTGATTTACTTCTCATCCAGGTGCCTGCTGATGTGCCTGGGAAAACAGTGGAAGATGGCCCAAGTACTTGGGCCCTGCACCCATGTGGGAGACCTGGAAGAAGCTCTTGGCTCCAGATCGGCTCAGCTCTGGCCGTTGTGGCCATTTGGGGAGTGAACAATTGGATGGAAGATCTCTCTTTCTCTCTGTAACTCTGCCTAAAAATAAATAAATCTTTAAAAAAAGTTCAAGGAAAAATGTACATTATATGTGTGTGTATACACACACACACACACACACACATATAACCTATAGGATGGGCATTTGCCCAAGTGGTTAGGCACTGCCTGTGAAACCGGCATCCCAAATGGGTATCAGCTCGAAACCCAGATGCTCCACTTCTGATCCAGCTCCCTGCTAATGCATCTGGGAAAGCAGCAGAATATGGCCAAAATGCTTGGGTCCCTGCACAGACAGGGGAGACCCAGAAGAAGCTCCTGGCTTTAGCCTGGCCCAGGTCCAGGCCTAGCCACAGCTGTTGCAACCATTTGGGGAGTAAACAGCAGATGGAAAATCTCTGTTTTTCTCTCTCCCTCTCTAACTCTGCCTTTCAAATAAATAAATAAATCTTAAAAAAAAAAAAAAAAACACAAAGAAATCGGCTGGGATGCCCACATCCCATACTGGAATTCCAGGATTTGCCTCCTGGCTCTAGTTCCAAGCTCCAGCTTCCTGCCAATGCAGACTTTGAGAGACAGCAGGTGGATGGCACGAGTAGTTGCTGGGTTCCTGCCACCCACATGGGAAACACAGACTGAATTTCTTACTCTTGGCTCTGGCCATAGCCCAGTGTCATTCACTGAAGGAAACGGAGAACTGAACCAGGGGATGGAAGCGCTTTCTCTCTCTCCCATCCAAGTACTAACCAGGCCCAACCCTTCTCAGCTTCCGAGATCAGACGAGACTGGGTGAGTTCATGGTGGTGTGGCTGAAGACTCCCTCTCTCAAATTTAAAAACATTTAGAAAACTATGCATGGATTTCAGATCTTTTGCACCCAAACAAGCTTATCTTTTAATCCCATTTTCATGAATTTTTTGAAATAACCTTATACACACAATATCACCTTCCTCTGATTTAGAGGGGCAAAAGCTTTTGAGCTTGTGAACCTGCCATTTTTCAAAGATTCACGGTGTACATGCACAGGACCACGCAGTGCTCCTGTGCTGACATAGGGGTTCCCTCTCTAGTCAGGTACTCACTAACCTCCCAAGGTGAAAATTGGCAGTAGTAGCACATCTCATTTCAGCAGCCTGGAGATATTTATAAAGCCAACAACCACTACACACATGTCTGGCCAGAAGCTTTTGCAAATTTTAAATTCTTTATGTAAGCATTTTCATAGGGACTTTTCCTAAGAGACATTCTAAACCCAGGAGTCCACTAGGTTGTGTTTTTTTTTATACTTGCCCTACTCTTCAAGAGTTAAATAAAACTTTTATTGTTCCATTTTAGGAATCAAATCTGACTCCTCTGGGATTAAGGGCACAACATTAATTATGTCATTGTTAAAAACCTAACATTTTTCAGAAAATCTTTTTTTTCTGACAGGGAGAGAGAGAGAGAGAGATAAAGAGAAAGAGAAAGAGACAGGTCTTCCTTCCATTGGTTCACCCCCCAAATGGCCGACATGGCTGGTGCTGCACTGATCCAAAGCCAGGAGCCAGGTGCTTCTCCTGGTCTCCCATGTGGGTGCAGGGCCCAAATACTTGGGCCATCCTCCACTGCACTCTCGGGCCACAGCAGAGAGCTGGACTGGAAGAGGGGCGAAGAGGAGCGACCGGGACAGAACCCGGCGCCCCAACCGAGACTAGAACCCGGGTTGCCGGCGCCGCAGGTGGAGGATTAGCCAAGTGAGCCGCGGCGCCGGCCCAGAAACTCCTTTCAACATAGGGTAGCAAACATTACTCTTCTGTGTGAAATAATTGTCACTGGAAGATGACATGGAAGTTCATCATCAGCCTTTCTCCAGGTTATCTGTGCCTGAACAGCATTTAGATGTCTTGCAGCAGTTTTCAGTAAGAGCAAACTGCAGACACTTAGCAGTAAGCTACAGTCAGAGCATCAGATTCTCATATCCCACGTACAGTGCCCTCAGCTAGGACTATTACTCCACGCTTAGCAAGGCACTGACAACACATGGCTCTCTACGAGCACACTCTGTACAAAGAACGGCTTAATGATAACTGTTTGATGGAGAAAACCAGTGTCCTTCCCTAAACCCACTGCTTTTCCTTTGCTAATAGTTCTGGCTTCTGTTTTAAAACAGCCAAAGGCCTCAACCAGTCAAGTTGTTGCCACCTTCTTATTAAACTTTAATAAGCTAGGCTTTTTAAGCCACATAAAAATTTCATCAAGCATTTTTCAACCTTAGGAAAACGGAAGGAGGAGAAAAGGTCAGAACATCCCTTCCCACTAAAACGGTGCCTGGAGAAGCAGTCAGCCGCGAAGCAAGTGCTAGGAAACTAGCTCCAGCGTGTGGCCTGCGCCAGATGGCGGCTGCATTCACTCCTTCATTGCATGCAGGACCCACACTGGGTGCTAATTAAAGCGCTGTCTTCAAATAGCAGGCTCCTGGGACAACCCTGCGCCTGCTTTCCCGAGTCCTCCATGTGCTTTCATTCAGCCTGTGGCTGCAGGGCAGCTCTGTCGGATGCAGCATTTCAGTGCAGCTCTTGAGCAATATGCTCTCAGCTTTTTGTATGACAACAGATTTGAAACACAGATCTTTAGTTTTTACAGAAAGGCAGGTCACATACTGTAACACAGAAAGAGTCTGGGGACCCTAAGACTTGAGGCATGCAAGATGGTGCATTCTGCGCTTCCTTACTGCCTCCCATCCATCCCAGGTGACATGCTGCAGGAAACTCCAATCTGGAACTGCCAACAAGGACCAGCACCAACACACTCTAAGAAAAGCCTGATTCTACAGGGCAAAGTGCCAGGAAAGGGGCAGCCCACCACCAGAAAACCTCTGGGCAGCACCTGACCTCCTGCACCACACACCAAGGAGCACTGACCCTGCTCCTGCCGCCAAGGTGTTACCAGCACCCAGCAGGAAGGTGATCCCTCCCAGCTCCTCCCTGAAGCAGGCTGAGCATGCTGAGCTAGTTGACATTTACAGAACACACCACCCAAGGGCAGAAGAGTTCCTCAGGCACCTATGAAACATTCACGAAGACAGACCATGTCCTAGATTCTAAAACAACCCTCAAGAAACAGAAGAAATGAAATCACAGAGTATTTTTATGATCAGAATGGAATCAAACTAGACATCAGGAACACTATGATAACAGCAACATCTTTAAACAACCGAAAATTAAGCAACATGCTTCTAAATAATACGTGGGTAAAGAGGAAGTCTCAAAAAAATACATAGAACTGAGTGAAAATGAAAATACAAAAAACAAAATATGTAGGACACAGCTAAAGAAGCTCAGAAAATAAAGTACTAAATGCTCACATTTAAAGCTTTTAAAGACAATCACAGAATGAAATGTAAACTAAAGCTATAAAGCTTTCAGACTATCTATCCATCCATCCATCTAATAAGGAGGCAGGCCACCCCCGGAGTCACTCCCCAATGCCTGAAATGGCCAGGCACAGGACCAGCATCAAAGCCAAGAGCTGAGAGCCGGGAAGGCAATCCAGGTCTGCCTCAAAAGTATATAAACACTGAAAGGGAAAATGGGTAAAATGTTCACAGCTGGAGAATCTGAGTGAAGGGAATACTCTGCAGTATTTGTGCAACTTCTTTGTGTACCTGAGGTTATAAACAATTACAGCTTAATAAATAAAAACTTTGAAGGTGTGAAAGACATTGCAGAGAGCTTGGTGTGTAAATGTTTTATGTGCAGATGTTTTATACCTATTTTCAGATGAAGAGACAGTTTGAGAAGCTAAAGCAAACACCCAAAAGCCATCACAGGAAACCAGTGGGAAGGGAGGATTTGAATTCAGGCCTATTCCCAGAAGCCTGTGCTTCTCTCACTAGAATGAGGAAGGAAGAAAATCCCAACTCCACCATGGGGCTTAGGGTAGGATGTCTTTATATAAAAACTGGCTTCAAACCCTTCACTCTCTTGGTACCCCATGAAGTCTAGGCAGGGGAACCTAACATCTGGAAGCCAGCTCCTGGATGGGATGTCTGTCTGCCACGTATCACTGAGGGGAGCTCCAGCTGCAGACCCCCACTCTAGGGCAGCACACTTCCTCTGCTGTCAGCACTTCATGTGCTGACCATGTGGACAGTCACTTCTGCAGCTCCTCACCACTGCACCTTGAGGTTAGACAAGACCTGGAACTTACTTTTAAATGGTTATTTTTTCTGAACAGTATGGGAAGGCTGTACTGTGGTGAAGCCTCCCTCTCCTCCCAGCTCCCCTCTCCAGAGACAACCAACATTATGAGTTTAAATTTCCCCAATTTAGTAAGACAATCTGGACCACGCTGTGATCCTAAGTTATCTACCCGAGTAGAATGGCCTAAATGATCACTGTAAGTCTAACAATTTCCTATTTTAGGCATTTAGAATAACCTATAAATATCTGTAGAAAAATGTCTTAAACATGAAAACAAGAGAGGCTTACAACTTAGGCTTTTAAGACAGAAAGGTATGTAAGCTGCATGGTCACAACAATGTCTGTGACACAACACCTGTGGAGTGCTGGGAGCTCACCTGGTTCCTATCGCGTGCATTTGTGTACCTGATCTTCTGAATGAAGTAGAATATGAGCCACGCTGAAGAAATAATCATCAACACAATAAAGGATATTGACACGAAGACTAGAGAGCCACGGCTGAAGTTCTTTGGCGGCATCCGAGTTCCAACAGCAATTGTCATTTGAACAGAGATGTTTTTCTCCAGATAACTCAAAATATCCTTACCCCTCAATTCTGTTATCATGACAGCAATGATATCTCCAGTGCCTGTAATGTAAAATAAACACATATGCTCAAGGGACATTTACAATTTACAGAAACATCAGACATAGAAAGATGGCACTTAGAAAAACTACCACCAATTTTTCTGCTAATGGAAAGGGTTTGCAAATTCAACTGAAACGGACTTGCTGCTGGACACATGGTGCTGAGTCGGGGTGTGCGGTCTGCTGTGCAGCAGTGAGACTTCCACAGACACGAGGTGCGAAGCAGCAGTGGTGCTCAGAATCACATCCACTGTCTCACAGCAACACTTACAGCACAGATCACTAAACCAGCCAAACGTGATAACAGAGAGCAACACAACATATTACATAGCAATAGAGTCGTGGCTACAGCCTTTTCTATCTTAAAATGATCTTCAGAAAGTCCTAGTTCCATAAAAAAGGAGAATAATGCTGTTTTTTATTGTACAAACTGGAATTTCTTGCACTGATCATTCTAAGAAACCAAGAGCCCATACTATATGCAGAACTAGTACAAGGAACAGAAAGGTGTCCAGGATGTGGAGCTCTACAACATCAGAGACCAGGGACATACACCTGTTAATAGAGTTTCACGACTCAGTGTCAAAGGGGGTACCTTTTAGTAGTGACATTTGAAACTAATGTTGGTCTTAGGCCTAGACCTGACTGGATCCAATCCAGTTTACCCCAGAACCTCCTGGAAACCAAACCCTTCTTAAGACAGGTCCAAGCTTTAAGATTCTACACCAGGTTGGCTTCAAAACACTTCCACTTTCTGATAGCTGTCCAGAAGTCTGCTCAGAGCCACAAACCATACAAGTTAATAATAAGATGGTCTTAAGCTGCCTTCTAGTCACCTGCTTCTTTTCCCTCGCCTGATTTCCATAGGCAGCGACATCTTAAAGGCAAGCGCCCGCCTCTCTTAGGGACAGCAGGAGACTGTAGTCCCCTTCCTTCTCCACAAATGGAGTGGCTTCCCACTTTCTTTAAGGCCGTAGAGGTCTTCCTATCACCAAGGTGGCTGTCAAAGGAGAGTAAGCGTTTTACTTTGGGAGACAAAAATGTAATCACTTATTTGAATTTGAATAAGGTATGTACTTCTGAATGTAAGCTACCAAACCAAACCAACCAGCATAGCCCCCAAAACTTCACATTCCAAAGGCTTTGTCAATAAATATTAAGCAAAAAAATTTGGTTGCATATGTTCATTTATCATATTTGGTTAATATGACCATTTTTGTGTTACATGCTGTCAAGAGACTATGAGCAATTGAAAAAAATTTAGTAATAAGTTTTATGAAGTACATAATCCAGTGGAACATGTAACTTTGCATTACCTTATTCAAAATTGTCCCAGCTCTTTATCAGGACAGCAGTTTACCAGAATATTGATTAAAAATCCATACACAAAAAAGAAAACTGCAAAATTTAAGCCAGCAAGGAAGTTAACATCTGATCATCTTTCTGAAATAAGAGTTCTGATCAGTAAGTTAGAGAAAAATCATAAAATAATGTTAAATCATTTTAAAATTCCATTTAAAAACGTCAGGATTGTGCTTTTAACAGGCTTTCCAACAGGCAATGATCTGTGGTACAAGGTACCAGGTATGGCTATAAAGTAACTGAGACGGATCCCATGAACAACATATGACAATCAGTCTCATTGCTTTATAATCACACCAGGTACAAATGGTTTTAGAAATCAGCTCCCTCCTGAAGACCCAAGCTGGAAGCAACAGGGAAAGCTAAACAGGTAGCCAAAAAAAAAAACACAAAAAACAAAACAAAACAAAACAAAACAAAACAAAAAACAATCCAGGTAACTACACTCAAAGAACATAAGATGAGCACGCCAACTAATTTTAATTGGAACGCTGTCTGGAAAAGAAACGTTTAGTTATTCCAACCACCCATTCAAGTTCAATGGTATTTATTCAGCACATACTATGATCAAGGCTCCTTTCACCTCTTAAAGAGTATGGAAAGTCCATGCTTTTGATGACATGAAAACGGCATCCGCTCTCAGGAGGGCAAAGGAGAATCACAAAGGGACTAGAGAGAGGAGCTCGAGCTGACCATACATGGTCTGGTCACACTTGCACAGAGGAGGACACTAAGCCACCGCTGACCAGGCAAAATGAGAAACAAATACAGCAGATCATCAGAGTATCAGCGAAGGCACTGGGTTCTTAATCATCTTAAACTCCTTACAGAATCTGACAAAAGTAACATCAGGGCCCCCTCCCAGAAGAAAAGCCCCCCTTCCTCTTTAAAGCACATCTGTGTTCATAGGCTGTGACTGAAGGATGCATCAGACACCTGACTTTTAAAGATTTGGGAAGTCTTGCCCAGTTTCAGGAGGGATATTAACACCAGAGGAAATGTGAGCTTCAGGATGAAATTAGGGTTAGATCAAACGGTCAGTGACTGGTCAGAGGTGAGGCAGCTAGACTGTAATGATGCAGGCATTCAGGCAGAGAGGACAAATATTTGGCATACCCATCACACTCCCACATCCTAAGTCCCGGGAAAACAGCACTAACAATGGATATGGCCTCAGAATCACATGCGTTTCAACATGTCTGGCACCATTATCAGAGACAACTGAGTAAAATCCGACTTGTGATTTCTGCTCTCAACTACTTTCTTCAAACGCTCTGTTATTTCTTAACATGCTTCCTATGCTTCTACTGCTTGGGTTTGGCTGCTTCAATACAAAATTCTGTTCTTTCTCCTTTTGAGTCCAAAATACAGTTTCAACACTACTTGAACACCCATATGCCTCTTATTTAGAATTGTCAGCTGGTAATATTTTGTCTTTTGTATATTTATTTATTTTTGCTGGACCAATGGAGAATTAATTTGAAACATTTCACCCTTAAATACATAGCAGTATCTCCTAAGAACAGTTATTCTACATGCACACAACACATTTATTCATATTCAAGATATGTGACATTTAATAATACACAGCCCACAGGCAAGTCTCTTTGAGGGTCCTAAAAATGACTTTCGCGGCTGTTCGGCCTTGTTTAGGGATCCAATCAGGAGCTGTGGGTGCTGCTTAGGTGCTGCATTTCTCTGACCTGACACAGCTCCTCAGTCACTTCTGGTCTACTGTTCATGAAATAGAACTTTTTGAAGAGTCCAAGCCAGGGGCCAGTGTTGTGGTGCAGTGAGTTAAGCCACTGCTTGAGATGCATGCATCCCACAACAGAGTGCCAGCTGAATCCCATATGCTCTGTTTCTGATCCAGGTCCCTGCTAATGAGCCTGGGAAGGCAGTAGATGATGGCCAAGTATTTGGGAGACCCCAACAGAGTTCCTGGCTCCTGGCTTCAGCCTAGCCAGCCCTGGCTGTTTTGTGTATTTGGGAAGTCAACCAGTGGACAGGAGATCTCCCTTTCTCATTCTGCCTTTCAAATAAACAAACACATAAATAAATTTTTTTTTTTTTAAAAAGTGTCCCAGCTGGATGTTCTGAGAGTTACTCGGGCTGGATTGGTCCACTTGCTTCCTGACTGGGTCTCTGAAGGAAACCTGCAGCGCTGGTCTCCTTCCTTTTCAGTGTACTGCATCAGGAGACACTGGTCAGGCTGAATTTGGTGCCGATGACAAGCTTAATCTCTTGGCTAATATGGTACCTGCCAGACTTCTCCACTACAAATGAATGCCTCTTTTTAATCAATAAACAACCGTCGGACAATACTTTCAGATCGTGTGAATAGTCAGGCAAAGCTCTTAGCATTCTTGGATGCTCACCTAAATCAGTTACTGCAGCAGTATTTTTAAAAAACTGTGATTTTTTTTTCTAATGCTGTAATTTCTTCCACATTTTGTAATATTATTTTGTATGCATTAATAGAATTTTCTACTCATCTTTTTTCCCATTAAAATTAAAACTGCATGGCAGGCAATTTTTCAATCAATAGGAACCTCCTAATCTGGTGGGAGAATGTGTGACCCTGTTATAATCCTAAGGGAGTAGCAGGTTTGAGGCCACCACAAGTGACCTCTCAGAGTTCACTGCCTCTGGGCTCTGGAACCAGGTTTGGGGCAAATCCCAACATCACACAGAACCTCTTTGAGCTTACCTTTCTTTTTTCAGAGTTTAGGGTTTTAATTTATCCTAAAGTCACTGAAGCAAAAATTATGATAAAACATTCTGCTGTCCTTTGGCAGCCTCCAGTTGGGGGGGACTATAGGAAAAAAGTTTTGTATATGGGATGAAACAATACAAATTCCAAACTTACAGGGAAGGGTTAGCTCTTTCACTCATCTCTTCAAAAACGCATGTGAATATCTAGTCAAAACCCACAGGGTATCGCTCCTGAAATGCTGTCTATAGAGATTTCCATGCAGACCATGGGACCACACCCTATACTGGAATGTTCTCAGAAGGCTCTATCATTGACCAAGTGACAGAGTAAACACCCCAGAGTTCTTTCTTTCAAATGGAAGAGGGGAAGACAGGGACAGAAGTTATTCCAACTTGGTCTTCCTTCCTTGTGGCTCGTGGTCTCCGCCTCCTCTTCTGCTGCCTGGGAACCCTCCTTGCCCCCCCAAAGCCTCTCCGGCATCTGCCACCAATCCACCTCAGTTTCCCGTGCCACTACTTTGGCCTCCAAAGCCACCTCTGCCTCCACCACAGCCCCAGAAGCCACCTTCACCCTTAGGACTGGCCCATTCCAAGGTAACTGCTTCCATCAATCTCCCCATCTTGGTGGCCTCCTTGGTGGCTTTGGTGTTCTCCTCACTGTTGAAGTCTAAACCCTGTTGAGCCAAACCCTTCGGAGATTCGTCCTTGCTCGGACAGAGCTGTCAAACAATTCCTTTAAGGTCTCCTCAGTGGCATCCTCAGACAGGTCCTGGCTGGCTGCTTCTTGCACTGGGCAGTCCCCTGGCTTTCCTGGCTTCTTGCACGCTTCCCAGCAGATGTGCAGGGAAGCGCCACAGCTCAATGAGTTAACCTGACCTGTACTGTTCTCACAGAAAGGAACAGAATAAAAACCCCAACCCCAACTACAGAACTTGGGTGCCTAGTCCCTCTCTTCAGTTTCTCCCTAGTGGCCCAGGAGGCCCCAGCTGACCAACACAGTCCTCCACGTGCACTCAGAAAGTGTTTCCAAATGGGAAGTGTCAGAAATCCACTCCCAATACCCACCCATCTTCCTGCCACCCCCCCTGGGCAGCTCCTGAAGGAGGATCCAGGTAGACAGCAAGGAGCCCAGGCTCCAGGCTGCTGGCAGAGAGAGGGGAGTTTCACTTTCAGCTCTTTCACTATGAGCATATCGATTTTTTAAGAAAATAGCACCCCTGTACAAAATCCCACTCAACAGAGGTTTCACAGATAATCTTCTCTGTTAAGTACAAATCACTTGCCAAAGTTTTAAGAAGTTCAAACACAGGAAGACAGACATCTTTATGAGAAGAGTTCAAGGGCAGGTGTGTGCTACATTCCTACATGAGGTGTTCCTGATGATACTCTGATCACCCATGGTAGGTTACCACCAATGGCACTGTGTAATGTACATACAAAACAGAACACCATATGCTTTAAATACAAAGAGAAATTAAAATTGCCTTCAAGTTCTAGGAGGGCTGCCACCAAGAGAATAGCCAGGTGTGACTCAAGGTTTGCTGTAACAGTCAAGACAGATGGACCAGTGGAGCCCCATGCTGCCATGTCCCCAGGAGACTGCTCACCGCAGCCCAGGGCCTTCTCTTCACTCTCATGTCCAGTGACACAGTTTAAGTCCTCCTCAAATGTCTATCTACCACACTTTCATTTCTTCAAACCTAGTCCCCGTTTTTTTCTCCACTGGTCCCATAAAAGAAAAAAAGGCAGAAAAAGATATGTCACATTCTCTTATGAAATGAATATAGCAATAATTCTGACTGATGTAGATGACAGGTTACATCAATTATAGATTTCCTGAGATTTATTAGTTTTCCCAAAACATAGATTTGTCCTGTCACTCTACTATCCAAAAGCTTTGATGTATCCTATCTGTCAGCTAAATAACACCCAACCACCTTAAGCTGACATTCAGGGCATGTGTGGAGCCACACAGCCCAAAGGTAACTGAGACTGTCATGTGGTGATGGACACTCCTTGACTCAATTCAGCCATAGTTAAAGGGCCTGTAACAGAGGCTCATGTAATCCAAGTAGAACGCAGAGGATGCCAGGAGGAAGAAAAGTGGAAAGATATAGAGAAAGGGCCCAGGAAACTAGAAGCATCAACAAAACCAACCGAGATGGGGAGAGGGAGAGAAAGGGAACCAGGCAATTGTCAGAGATGAAGACACTGGAGTCAGAGACTTCAGATGTAGGCATTCTGGGAGGCCACAGGAGGGCAGGTCCTGGAGAAGCAGAATGGTCAAAGGACCGAGGCATCGAATGAAATGCCCCTGGCAGGAAAGGACAGCATGTGTACAGCATGAAATGGAAACAGGAAGACCTGCCCCTGTGGAAGTGCACTGCCTGAAAGCAGCTGCACTCAGCCAAGGCACCAGCAGCAGCACAGCTTCCACCTGGTGCCCACAGAGTTTCACAGCCAGCTAGCTTGTCAGTCCGTTGAAGCTGGAAGCTGAGTCTCCCTCCACGAGGCTGACAGTGGGAGCCTAACATCTAAGCCTCTGAATGAAAACACATGGCAGTCACTGACGACAG